GGAGTGGAATGAACGGGATGAGTTTCTTCGCGCGCGCTTATATGCCCGGAGAAGAGGTGCATGGGCCGGCTGAAATGTGACATGCGCTCCTCATTAACATATAAATTAAACGTGACAGTCGTGGGGGTCAGTTCTTCTTTAGCGACCACCGCCGAGCCAAAATACGCAAGTCCAAAAATCTGGACATAAGACGTCTAAAAGATATTTTTTTAGACATCTTTTAGTCGTCTTACGAAATAATAGCTAATAGACGTCTAAAATACTTCTTAAAGACACGATATTGACAGATATTAACAGAAATAAGTATATTTCACTAATACTTCATATTTTAATATTTTAATAATTTTTTACTCTGTATAGCACAAATCTCCCACCGTTTTCGTCTAACTCTTTTTCTTTGACATTCCCGTTTTTTCTCTCTCCCGTCTAATAGAATCGGCATCTTTGATAGACGAAATTGACTCGATACGCTCGAGTTGGTTAGCCTAGTTCGTGGGCGAGATACTAATTTTAGAACTATGATTTCACGTGGACTTTTCAACGTGCACTGGAATGTTTCGTTATGGTAACATCTCAGGGCAATGGCTCGTATCCTTCCGCGCATTTCACATGCTAAACGTGACCGACCTGTAGACGATATAAGAAGCAAGATATGTAGATGAAATAAGAACCAAACAACTGTCTGGGACACTCTAAAGCGACGAATCTTAACATTGGCACTAATACATTTATTAGGATTACGTTTTAGGATTACGATTTTTTGTGTGCCTTCTCAGTTTTTCATTGAAATTAAGATTTTTCGATTTTATTATCCGGATTTTTCTTCATTGATAATAATTTCGTGATTTCGCTTTCAAAAGGATAGTGTTCCGAAAACAGTGCACCTCCAATTTCGATAAAATTTGGTAAAAATCTTCATTACGGTTTAAGATAAAAGCTCTTACAAGAAATTTTAGCGACTCCTATGACAAAGCCATTTTTTTAAAGCTAAAATCATAAAAAGTATAGAAAAATATTAACAATTCTACAGGATATTATAAATTGTTATAAATTATAAGCAGTTATATATTATAAACAGTTCTCCCCACTTCACTTTAAACACGCCTATCTGTTCAAGTCAACAAATATACTTTAGGAGTTTTCATGTTAATTCAAAAGGCATTGAAAACTTATTCCACATGGATTTCCAACTTTTCATGCGAAGCGAGTTCCACTCCATCTCACCCCCCTACTTACAAGGCAAAACGAAATTTATAATTATACGGTTCCACACGGGTTTCTAACTTATTATTATTATTATAGCATCTCAGAAATAAATGCGCGCTTTTATCGATAAAAGAGAGTTAAGAATATGGGCGGATGTCTCGATTTGGAACATGCATGTTGTTTGAGTTACCTTCTCTTTACTATTTTATCTTGAAAAATGATTTCTTATAAGAGTTATCAGAATTCGCTTTAAGGGCTTTTATTTTAACTCAAAATGAAGCTTTTTATAAAGTTTATTGAAATCGGAGGTATAATACCGTTTTTGGAATTTTAACCAATTTCAATACTCAGAATTACGAATATTCTCGATTTTTATGATGGCAAATAGTGTTATTATTCTTTTCTGTGTAATTGTCACGCTACACATTCCGACGTTTTCTCGAGCTGAACGATGCACGATCCGCGAGAGTACATTTCGAATACGTTATCTCACTCTTCTCATTATACCGGTCGCCTCCGAACGGTCCTCCCGTTAAGTTTGTTTATCCCTTTGTTTATCTTTTCGTTGGGTGAAAGGACGACGGTTAGGGACCGGTGAACGAAACTGACCCGTCACTCGAGGCGGGTTATCCCAGTTCGTGGACGAGTCGCTGGCGAGGTGAGCTTTGGTCATTGCTGGGTCGGCGCAGTGTTATTCTGGGTTTCCACTCGGCTATATTTAGACGAGACCACCTTGAGGAAGCTTAAGACTCGAGAGTTCTCTCTCTCTCTCTCTCTCTCTCTCTCTCTCTCTCTTTCTCTCTCTCTATCCATCCATTTATCTCTCTCCGTGGCACAACGAGCTGGTTTTATTTACCGGCCGATTGTGTCTGGTTGTGCAATGGCTGCTCGAAAAACAGTCGAGGAAATCCTCTTTCGTCAGACGATCACATATAGACATATAGCATCCTTCGCGCGACGGCAATCGATCCGCCGACGGCCGTCGCCTGTCACTTTTCACCACTCGTACTAATGTCTATTTCTACCAATGTAGTTAATTTTGATCGCGGTTTGACTTACTTTTTGTCTTTTTCTAGTTCTTAAAATTAGAGAAAGATAAAAGGTAAGTTAAACCAAGATTAAAGTTAAACTGCATTGATAGATAGGGGCGGTGGCTCTTATTTGCCACAACAAGAAATCTATGATGCAGATCGAGAGATCATTAAAGCCAGCCGCGAACGAGGTCTTCCGTAATTGTTCCTTTCTTTTCTTTTTCTTTTTTGAACGCGACCGCCAAGGCGCTATACGGCGGTCACGCTTAACGTAAAACCAACATTGCGAGCCATTTTGAAAAAAAATTATTATCACGGACAAAAACCTGCGGAATCAGAACGAGGCTGTAAGTGGTGCGTTGCAGTATAATCGAAGGACGTTGACATACAAACCCGAAATTATTTTCCGAGAAACGCGCCGTGAGATCCAGCCAAGTGGTTCTCGTTGCCGTAAGTTCACGCGAGGCAGATGTTTGTTCAAATCAGCCGAGAAAGAACCCCCGCGAATGTATCTCCCTATACATACTCTTTTCAATACCGGTATACCCGTATCGTATCAGACTATGGATTAAGTTGAAATTGAATCGGAATAGAAAAAAGTGATCTCACGTTTATTGAACTTTGTTCTGATTGATATTTCATCAATCTCCAATCTCCAACCTCAAACCTAATCCGCAGTTTGATATCCGGCTTTAGGGAATATCGTAGGGTCCTTTTCGAGTGAATACACAAGGGGAAAAAAATGATCGAATATTGTTTGCGATATCTAATTATAAGAGTTCTGATTTCCAGACCTTTTTAATTTCTCGGGACTCGAGAATTCCCGTCTGTTCCCGAAAATTCTCAGAAATATTTAAATCAATTTTATTGTTGACAATTTGGCATTTTACAATTATTTTATCTACATTGTCATTACACAAATCGACTGATCCTGTCAAATCAGTCATTTATTTGGTCTTTTATTTTATTTTTACTAAGAAAAACAAAATTAAAATATAAAAAAAATTAAAACTAATTTTAATTTCTTTATAAATAGCTTCTAAGTTAGGGGAGTGCGTTTTCCTGTAGATTCAACTGAAACTCTCGATGAAGGTTTTAATTACCTTTTTTGCTGCGATCAATATACTTTTTATTTGTTTGTCGTAATTCCCCTGTTTGCAGCAGTCTCCGCATTCTCCCTCCGCCCATCGCGTCTTAAAGTCGCACAGTGCGACAGAGGAATACAAACAAATGAGCACCGACAAATAAATAGTTTGCAGCGTAGGTAGGTATCATTAGTCCGTTGTTTGCACGTTAATTATTTACTTATTACGTGTTTCAGAAATCTCTCGATTTCTCGACTGTTTTTTCCCGTGATCAAATTTGGCAAATTTTCCCTAGAAAATCGAGATCAAAAATTCTCGAGTCAGAAACCCTAAATTCTCAACAGTAGCTAATGAGAGAGAGAGAGAGAGAGAGAGAGAGAGAGAGAGAGAGAGAGAGAGAGAGAGAGATAAAATATTCAAAATATATTTAAATATCTCTCGAATCGATATAATAATTTCCTTTTTAACTGCAAATCTGCGTTAATAACTATCATTAGACGTCTTTTCCATCGTTATTTACTCGGCTGCAGTGGACCCGAAGCATAAGAAATAACGGAGACACAGAATCAAAAAATTGAATTGTCGAAATATCTACTTTTTTTGCAAACTCTAATAGTAAATTTTTCGTAGATTATCGAAATAACGTCATTCACGGAATGACGCGAAAAGTCGCAGAAGTTACATATGTAAGGATGACCGGCGTTATATCATACATTTGTACGGAAATGATCAGTGCAAATGACGTTATTTTAGTAATTTATAACAAATTTACTATTAAAAATTCAATTTTTTGGTTTTTATATGTCCGCTATTTCTTACGCTTCGACCCACTGCGCGTCGTCTCGTTCGTCGTGACGATACACGGTGCGCACGCCGCTCACTAACTTGTGTTTATCGCTCGGCTATATTTAGACTAAA